CAGTAGTAGTAGTAGTAGTAGTAGTAGTAGTAGTAGTAGTAGTAGTAGTAGTAGTAGTAGTAGTAGTAGTAGTAGTAGTAGTAGCAGTGTCATTTGGTCATTATATAGGGGCGACAGCTAGCGACCGTAAATAGTGGCGGGTCGTTGCACGTCATATATGTATATATTATATACTGAACGCCATTAAAAACGTAACACTTCGTTTGCTGAGTCTGTAAATCAAATGAAGATAGATTAAAAGAAGTGTTTTTGAAGTTTATTCATTTTCCACAAACGTGGACCCTTTTTATCACACACTTCAAATGATTTCGATACCTTGTCTTTCTTCTTTCGGAGTACCCCTCTAGACAAAATTGCAGATAAGCACAAATCGAAACCTAATAAAGATTCCCCCACTCTTAGTAAACAGCATGGCCACCATTAACATGTATACAGACCAAGACACGTCTTCACATGGATTTTATAACATTTTAAATGTTTTGTTGAAAAATTCTGACCCACTTTGGCGGCAGCGGGACCTCCAGTTGCAGCAGATTCGCACAACGGCCTCTTGCACGCACTTTGCGGTTCAGTCCATCCCTTATGTGCGCTGTTGGAGACATGTCCGGTACGAACACTGGCCAGTCCATGACATTCATGCTATGATCGTCCAGAAACTGTGCTGTTTGTTGAATGGTCAGTGGGAGGGTAGCAGTGTCGTGTTGGATGACTGAGAGTTGCTGATTTTATTTCTGGTACTGTTTGCGCACTATGATTACGACGCCGTTGTCGCGGATTCGTTAATAGCAGTTCTATAAGGTGTTCTTTTTCTAAGTCTTGGATTACTATTCGGCGCCTCACCTTGATGGAAGAAACATTTTCACGCACTCCTGAGCTGTTACTTTTGCAAGAAGGAAACGATTTCGCAGATGTGACAGCAAAATCTGTCTGTCTTGAGCAAGGCTGGTCACTCAAGGCGGTCCTATTTTGTGTCTATCCTGGAATTTGTAAGTATGCTAAAAATTTTGGATAGGTTGAAAAACAACACACTACGCACTTCATTTTAGCAGACTTGCTGCTTCTCGGGCAGATGTCCCACCTTGCACTAGGCGAAGGAAAAACTTGCTGTCAGATTTGTTAAATTGGGGCGTCTTGTAACGGAAGAAAAATCAAACCTGATCGCAAAAGTGTCCTGACATTTCTTTGGAAAGCGCCACTTATCATCTTCTAAGTTAATTAAATTTTTATCATGAATAATATTGCGTATCATTAACACATTTTACCAAAGCGCGGGTCTCTGTGCTGAGGTGAACAGTACTCGTAGAAATGACCAAAATCATGCATGGGCGTGTGAATTAATACCTGCTCACCTCTGTCTGCAAAAAGCATGGCGATCAAAGCCTATTTGTCTTTCTTATTGCCTTTAATGAACGTTTCGTTTTTAATGGCGTTCAGTATAATTATACACACACACACACACACACACACACACACACACACACACACAGACACACACACAGACACACACACACACACA